AGGTGAAGGGAGAGGCGAGAGCTGACGATTGACTGCAAAGTAAAGATCAAGAGCTGGTAATGTATTGCAGAGCTTTTGTCCAGCTTCTTCATTGAAACCGAAACCTAGCTCAATAGATCCTTTTAGCTCGTTTAAATCCTCATCGGTTAGTTTCGTGTGTTCACTAAGATTGTCTGAAATGCCTTTATGAAGCAGCTTCTTCTCCTGAATCATTATCATCTGCCGTCTTCTTCTTTCCCAAGCAACATCTCGTGGTGTCTCACACATAGATAGTTGTTTCGATAACCGTTGTTTTGGTTTTTGTGAGGCCACCGGCGTTGTTGGTGTCGTTGTTCTGACCTGGGGAAGCGCCGGTGTTAAGATTGGCAATGTAAGCCCTTCTCTTCTTCTCACCATTTTTTTTTGTGCATATAAAGCAGAGTGACCGGAAGCTAATGTGTTATGAAGAGGTGGCTTGTGGATGCAAATAAAGGTTCTTCTTTCTGATTTTTATTACCTCTTTAAGAGATTATGAAAGCTTTAAGCTTTTGAATCTTGTGGATTTTTTTAAAATGTATGTTCTTTGTCTGATGGCCGCGTACGAACATATAACGCGGCCAACAAAGAGGTTAAAACGGGTCGGGTTGATCAGATGTTATCTTTATGCCCTTTCTCTAGTTGGATTTTGCCCAACCCGACCAGATAACCTTTGAGGAGACTCCAGGTGCTTTAATGGAGGATAGCAAAATAGTTTCCACCATTGATCTATGCAATGGATAGAGGCTAAAGCTATTTTCCTCCATTGTTTAAATTTGATGATTGACTCGGCCAGATATTTAGGGACTTGCTTTGTTTTGACCATTCCAAGAAAAGACTTTCAAAAATTATCTTAATCTATCTCTATCAAAATCAAAAATTTCATAGCATTTCGTATAATGTTTGTAACAATATGGTTTTGTAGGTTTCTATATTTAGATTAAACGAATTCCATGTAGTAGTCAAAGGAGAAAAGTCTTTTGCATTTCTCTAACTATATGCTAAACATAGCTTGTTCGAGTAATCCTCTCCTCCATGGATTCTCTAACTACTTCTGTTTCTCTTTCAGACAGAAAAACGGAGAATGAGAAAACACCAGTAACCTCATTGTAGAGAAAACTAATCAGACAGAGAGAGAAAATAGAAAAGGAAGAATAACGTACCTTGCGATTTCTGTCTTGCCTGGTTTTTGCTTCTTGTTGATCCAGGCAAGTCCTGTTCTGAGTTTCCATGGTTAGGTTTTAGAGAAAATAAGAAACAAGCTTCCAGTTTTGTCTGCAGGCGTAAAAAGACAACGCCTTCTCGACCTTAATATCTTGTGAAACAAGGAAGCTTTTCTCTTTTTTCCCTTTTTCCTTTAGGCCAGAGAGTTTCTACCCGTTGATGTGTAAGCCATGAACGGGAAAGCTCGTATTCTCCTTCCTCTCTTGTGTCTCTCTATTCTCCTGGTTTCTCCAACCAGATCTTATGGTAAAGATTTCGCCCTGAGCTGCGGGGCAACAGAAGCTTCTACAGACCCGGATAAGAAAAAATGGGAACCCGACACCAAGTTTCTGAAGACAGGAAACTCTATCCACGCAACAGCTACATATCAAGACCCTTCACTACTCTCTACGGTTCCTTATATGACAGCTAGAATCTTTACAGCTCCAGCAACTTATGAAATCCCCGTTAAAGGAGACAAAAGGCATTTGCTCCGGTTACATTTCTACCCATCAACATACACGGGTCTCAACATTGCCAACTCGTATTTCTCTGTGGCAGCTAATGATGTTACCCTATTGAGCAATTTCAGCGCCGCTATCACATGTCAAGCCTTGACACAGGCTTATCTGGTTAAAGAATATTCTCTTGCCCCCACCGAAAAAGATGTTTTGAGCATCACTTTAACCCCATCAGACAAGTATAAAGACACATTCGCCTTTATAAATGGTATTGAGGTGATTCAGATGCCGGAGCTGTTTGATTCGGCGGTTCTTGTTGGTTTCGCGGATCAGACAGCAGATGCCAAGACCGCGAACCTTCAGTCAATGTTTAGGCTTAATGTCGGTGGTCAAGACATCCCTGGAAGCCAAGACTCTGGTGGGTTGACAAGAACTTGGTACAACGATGCGCCTTACATATTTAGCGCAGGTCTTGGTGTTACACTTCAAGCAAGCAATAATTTCAGGATCAATTACGAGAAAATGCCGGTCTCTACAGCTCCAGCAGATGTGTACAAGACCGCTAGATCTCAAGGTCCAAACGGAGATATCAACATAAAATCCAATCTTACATGGATGTTCCAAGTCGATACAAATTTCACATACATCCTCAGACTCCATTTCTGTGAATTCCAGCTTTCCAAGGTCAACCAGAAGGCTTTCAACATTTACATCAACAACAGAACCGCGCAGGTAGATCCTGCTCCTGCAGATATAATTGCGTGGACAGGAGAGAAAGGAATCCCGACTTACAAAGACTACGCGATATTTGTTGATGCCAACACCGGAGGCGAGGAGATTACACTTCAACTGACTCCATCAGTTATTGCTAAACCGGAGTATTATGATTCACAGCTTAACGGGTTAGAGATTTTCAAGATGGACACCATGAAAAATCTTGCCGGTCCAAACCCGGAGCCATCGCCTATGCAAGCTAACGAAGAAGTGAAAAAAGAATTCAATAACGAAAAGAGAACTGCTTTCATCATTGGCTCGGTTGGAGGAGTTACGGCGGTTTTAATCTTTGCGCTGTGTTTTACGGTCTATAAGAAGAAACGAGGATATCCAGGAAGCGACTCTCACACATCAAGCTGGCTTCCTATATACGGAAACTCTACCACATCAGGAACCAAATCAACAATCTCCGGTAAAAGCAACAATGGAAGCCACCTATCAAACCTTGCAGCAGGTTTATGCCGCAGATTCACCTTGCCCGAAATCAAACACGGAACTCAAAACTTCGATGATTCCAACGTCATTGGAGTTGGAGGGTTTGGTAAAGTCTACAAAGGAGTTATAGACGGCACAACCAAAGTAGCAATCAAACGATCAAACCCAAATTCAGAACAAGGACTCAACGAATTCGAAACAGAAATCGAACTCCTTTCAAGATTAAGACACAAACACTTGGTTTCCTTGATCGGATACTGCGACGACGGAGGCGAAATGTGTCTCATTTACGACTACATGGCTCTAGGAACACTCCGTGAACATCTCTACAACACAAAGAAACCACAATTAACTTGGAAACGAAGACTAGAGATCGCCATTGGAGCTGCAAGAGGATTACATTACCTTCACACAGGAGCTAAGTACACGATTATACACAGAGACGTTAAAACAACAAACATCTTGGTAGATGAGAACTGGGTAGCTAAAGTTTCCGACTTTGGATTATCCAAAACAGGACCAAACATGAATGGAGGTCATGTAACAACAGTCGTCAAAGGAAGTTTCGGTTATTTAGATCCAGAGTATTTCAGAAGACAACAATTGACTGAGAAATCAGATGTTTACTCATTCGGAGTTGTACTATTCGAAGTCTTATGCGCAAGACCAGCGTTAAACCCGAGTTTACCTAAAGAACAAGTGAGTCTCGGAGATTGGGCAATGAATTGCAAAAGAAGAGGGACTTTAGATGACATAATCGATCCGAACCTGAAAGGGAAGATTAACTCAGAGTGTTTGAAGAAATTTGCAGACACGGCGGAGAAGTGTTTGTCGGATAGTGGATTAGAAAGACCGACGATGGGAGATGTGTTGTGGAATCTTGAATTCGCGCTTCAGCTTCAAGAAACTGCTGATGGGTCTCGTCATCGGACTCCGAATAATGGAGGTAGCTCAGAGGATGTCGGCGGAGGAGGAGGTGTGGCGGTTAACGTTATCGGAAGAATCGAAGAGCACGACGTGAGTGATCTTTCTTCAGAAGACAGCAGTGGAATATTTTCTCAGATTGTAAATCCTAAAGGACGATAAGGTAATTTCACAACTCTGTTTTACAAAGAGACATAAAGATTTGATGTTAATGATCTTAATTTTGTTTGGTTTTTTTTTGTGTAATTGACAGGAAAAAGACAAAAACAAAAAATAAGCGGTGGTCCAAGTGATTTTTCATTTATTTTGAGTGGTATTGTTATTAATTAATCAAAAACATTTGTGAAAATTATATATCCCATGTAATCAACAATATTGTATTACGGATTCATAGTTTTAGAATTTTATATGGTGATAATTGTTATAATTTTGTCCAATTTGTTGTCAGCCAAAAAGACTAAAAGCTAGAAACGAGTAATCGTATGTACTATATTACTGAAAAATTGGAGAGCAATAAAAGCAAAATCTTTCAATTTAGCTGTTAAAAATAAATTGGCAATTTTCCAATTTTGCCCTTATCGAGAAAGCGGAAACAAAATCCACAATAAAAGCCCTAAAGCTAAATCTTTCACTCTGTTTCTCCCCAAACACACTTCGCGTACATTCCTCCTTCTCCATTCGCCGTCGAATCACACCATTGTTGTCTCTCCGTTCATCCTTCGACGCCGTCTCTCTTATCTCCGCCGACCCTTTTCGTAAAATTCATCTTTTTCCGTTCTCTCTTCCTCAATTTCTGGGTACGAAGATCCAATGGCGTTATAATTCGGGGATCAAGATTGGTGTGTGTAAATCTAAGCCCAAGTCTGCATCTTATAGCTCCAAGTGATGGCTTACGGTGGTCCGTCGATGAATCCTCCGGCTATGAGTGGTGCGGTTCCCGGGTCTGGTAATATTAAGCAGGTGAAATTGGAGAGAGAAAGTGAGCTCAGGATCGAAGTCTCTGAAGAACCTCTCAGTCTCCGTGTGGTGAATGGGACTGCTGAGATTTTCGGCTCTGAATTGCCTCCTGGAAACTCCCTTACCTTCCCTCCTCACCTGAAATTTGCGGTATGTTTTTTTACTTCATACAATTCTTGTTTTTTGAGAGTGATTGTAAGCATTATGATTATGAACTTTTAGATCTATGGTTATCTTTCTCGAATTGGGTTCTTGTGTGGTTATCGAATTCACCCTTTGGCCTCGGAAAGGTGCATCCTTTATGAGTGAAGATTGATGGTCTTTAGGTTTAAGCTTTAGGTGGTAAATGAAGGTTCTGTTGCTTAGTTAAGAGTTATTAAGTTGGTTTATACTCTTGATGATATATGTGATTCTGCCTAGTTTTTTATCTTCTGGTAATGATTTATGTAATGCAAAAGATCATAGTTTTGAAACCTCGTCTTTACCGTCTAGTGCCCTTTCGATTATTGTCAGGTTTTCACCTGGTATGGAGCAACGATTGAGATAGATGGTGTCACGGAAACTGACTATACAGCAGATGAGGTAAGGTTCTTGATTCATTCCCAAACTTCCTACGTTTAGATATTTAGAGCCAAGAAAAATAAGTTTACTAACAATGTCTCGGATTCTAGACACCGATGGTCAGCTACATTAATGTGCATGCCATACTAGATGCAAGGAGACGTTTAGCCAAAGCTTCCTCATCTGATGACCCAGAATCTTCTCAGGTATTTATCTTCGATGATCTTGTTGTTGTATGCTATATTGGGCGAGTGAAAACACTTGGTTATTAACAATCCTCTTAATGCAGGGACCTCGGGTTATTGTAGTAGGGCCTACGGATTCCGGGAAGAGCACATTGACAAAGATGCTTCTTAGTTGGGCAGCCAAACAGGGATGGAAACCTACATTTGTAGACCTTGATGTTGGCCAAGGCTCGATCACAATACCAGGATCTATTGCTGCTACTCCTATAGAAATGCCACTGGATCCAGTTGAAGGTTTTCCTCTAGATATGGCCCTCGTGTACTACTACGGCCACGCAGCACCGGGGTTAGTGATTTTTAAATTTCTCTTCCCCATCATATGTTGTATCGCTTGGCAAATAACCTTTTAAACGTGGTATGTGGTTATTTTTCTCTCAGTAATAACGTTGAACTGTACAAAGCTCTGGTGAAAGAGCTTGCTCAAGTACTGGAGAGACAGTTTGTTGGAAATCCCGAATCTAGAGCTGCTGGAATGGTGATCAACACAATGGGATGGATCGATGGTGTTGGTTATGAGGTAAAACTTAGCTCCTTCGTAGTGTATTTTCTTGTAAAGGTAGCTCCTTTTTAGCGTATTTTCTGCTAAAAAACTGTCGGGTTAAAGAACGGTATCTGTGTTTGCGTTGCAGCTGCTTCTCCACGCAATCGATACATTCAACGCCTCGGTTGTACTTGTATTGGGTCAGGAAAAACTCTTCAGCATGCTTAAAGATGTGCTTAAAAGTAAGAGTAACGTTGACGTCGTGAAACTTCACAAATCAGGTGGAGTTGTAGCCAGGACCAGTAAAGTCCGTCAAAGAGCAAGGAATTATAGAATTCATGTAAGTAATTTCAGTTTCATATCTTTTAATAGCCTTTTTTATGCTTTTACAGACTGAATTTAGAACTCGGCAACTTAATTTTCCAGGAATACTTCTATGGTCTATCAAAAGAGCTCTCACCATACGCCAATACAACCAGTTTCAATGACCTGCAAGTGTTCCGCATTGGCGGTGGACCACAAGCTCCAAAATCAGCTCTTCCTATCGGGTCTGACCCGGTATCTAATCCTTTGAGGGTAACGCCTGTAAATATGGATGATCGGGATCTGCTGCATTCTGTTCTCGCTGTCTCATATGCAGAAGAACCAGACCAGATTGTCTCAAGGTAACCTAAAAAAAGTTCTTGTTTAATTCAAAAAAATCGAAAGGCTTGTGTTTTCCTTTGGTTCTTGCGTTTGTTGATGTTTTCTTCCCTTCTCTCTGGTTCTTTGTATGCAGCAATGTTTCCGGGTTTGTGTATGTGACGGAAGTTGATGTGGCGAGGAAGAAGATAACGTTTTTAGCACCATCGCCTGGGATATTACCCAGCAAGATCTTGGTCGCTGGATCTTTGTCATGGCTCGAGTCATTAGAAGCAAGAAGATGATTTAATTAAACCAGAGAAGAGAAGATAGAGCCATGTTATTTGCTAAGAGAATGATGCAACCGTTCAAATTCTCTGTTTCATGTAATTTTATTTACAGATTAGCCTTTTTTCTATATAAAAATTTGTTGTTGTGGTGGATTAGGTTGGATTTTCTTTTGTAATTTGATACTACTACTAAATAAGAAAATAATATGATGCATTAATTACTAGTATAACTTTTGCTTTTTAAAAGATATCCGAATATAAGATGTTTAAGATACATGATCTAATTTGCCTAGGAAAAAAATAACATTCTATTTTCTGATATGGTTTTAATCATTTTAAATTTGTACGAAAAAAGAGTAGGTGCAAAGTAGGTCCACTAGCAGGGGACCCACCTAGAAATCTTTAACAGAGAGAGTTGTGTTTTTTTCTCTCCTCTGATACCGCGACGACCACTTCTCTGCTCCACGGTCTTCTTTACTGTATTATTATAAGAGAGTCTGTATTCTACTCTTACAATTTTTTATTACACAACTTTAGCTTTTTGTTTTGTTTTGTTTTTAAATTGAATTTTTGTCTGCTTGAATAATTATTTAGTTTGAAAATATATTAATGGAGGAATTTTTAAGTAAAGTGGAGTCTTACCTCTTCCCCACCCACAAAGCAGAGAAAGCAAAAGTCATAACCTTTGACACTTTTCTCAACATCTCTCTCCACAAAGAAACAAAACAAGATCAATC